GTGCAACCACGCACGCGCTTGGGTTTCGCTCGCCGCCGGAAGGCTTCGGCTCTGCGTGGCGGCGCCGCCGACCGGAGGGTTTTGCTTTTTCAGTTTCCGCTGTGAGGAGAGGACGCGCCGCCTGCGGACCGCGCGCTCGGCAGAGGTGAATTTCCGCCACCCACACTTCGTGACTGCGATTCTCAGATTGTGTTGCGGTTTCTCTTTGTTTGAATTGAAATTGAAATTGAACCTCCTGTCCCAGTGCTGGTCTACTGGACAAGAAGAAACTAACAATTTCGTGCCCAACTGTTGCGCAGATCGACGACTTCTTGTTGGTGGACTGGAAGCTCTCCTCTCAGTGCGTGTTCTTCACCAGGTTCTCGCCTGACGACTTCTTGTTGGTGGACTGGAAGCTCTCCTCTCACTGCCTGTCCTTCACCAAGTTCCCGCCTGGTGACCAAGGTTGCCCCTTCCCTTCCATTCTTCACCTCAAGCCCCAGCCAAATTTCAGCTTCCGCCTGCCTTTCCTCCTAATCCCGTCTGTCCTTTCAAAAGTTGTACTACACCAATGATGAAGAACCAAAAGTTGTACTCTTAGCTAAGCGCTCTGTCTTCCTTTCTTGTACAGCTGCTCTAGTTTAGCTCTGCTGCCCACCTCAGGCATTCTTCCCTTTTTGTTTCTTCCTGTATAGAATTGTTGGAGTTCTTTTTGTTTAATAAAAAGTTTATAGTGGGGGCCTCCCCTGCTGTATTTTCCGGTCAAAAAATATAAATTGCAAGTCACAGAACAAATAGCCTGAGCAAATTGCTTGAAGCTTGAGAGTACATATATTACTCCCTCTTTTCTTAAATATATGATGTTTAGGACAAACTAATAATTAGTTCAAAAGCTAATTAGTTCATTTTTTGAACTAATTAGCTTGTCCTAAATGTCATATATTTAACAACAGAGGTAGGGCTTTTCTATAATAATGTGACTCGCTTTCAGAATCAGTCCCAACTGGTGCAGATCATTTGCATATAATGATGGATTTCCATAAGACAGGCAAAACCAAGCAGTTGAATGACATTCAGGAGCAACTCCAGCCACAAATACAAAAAGGCAAAGCTCAGAACTACTTTACTCACCTCCCATATTTGCTGAAAAGGTCCTCAAGATCCTGTGTCCGGGTATGTGGAGAAATTTGGCCCACGTACAACTTGGTGTTACTTCCATGTCGACCATGGCGATCATATCGATCGTTGTAATCATATCGGTCATCGTATCGAGGCATTATGCACTGCAAGACAATAAAATGTCAGGTTGCAATACCTGCACAGAGATCATCTTTGTCACAGAAACATGCAAGTAAACTTGCATGGACCTGATTGATACAATAGACCTCAATATTGGACTAGTTTTCCCTAATCATGCTCCTACTGTGGAAGATCCATACATAACACACATGAATATACTTCTATAAATTTGAAAGGCCACCCTTTCACAATTAGTCTCCCTGCTAGGAACATATTTGCGTCAATCCTAGAATGCTCTTGGCAAAGGAAAAAAGAAAAGAAAAGAGAATGCAGCATAAAGACCACAACAAATCAATCCAAAAGACGAACTTTGAATGATCAGACACAAATAAAACGTACAGCACAGAAACTAATCAACTCTCATTTCAGATGATTCCAGAAACAGCAAAGACTACACGTGCCGCAAGCCCGTGACTAAACTAGTGGAACAATGATCATACTTTCATGCATCCACCAAATTCACGTACAAGACCCTAAGACAAACGGCAAACCAACAAATGATGCAATCAAAACCCTAATTTTGCATGATCCCCTGTCACAGTTAGGCCCTTACCAGGGACAAATTTCCCTCCATCCTAACACGGTCTTGAAAGGTAACCCAAAAAAAAGCTGCATTTTACCAATTAACCAACGACAAATCCGCGGAAAATTAAGCCACGGAGAACAAGCGGCAACTGGAAAAGCGAGACGAGCCCACTCGGCAACTCCCCGTGAATGCTAGGCGGTGTACACGAACGAGAGGAATCGCGAGGTCTGAGGCGGTGAAGAGCACGCACCTCCCGAGGATGCGAGCGGCAGTGTCGCGGGAACCCTAGTCGGCGATGAGGCGGCGGCCCCGGCGACGGCGAGGCAAAGAGAGGAGAGTGAGGCGGAGCCGACAGCGTCCCGGGGGTTTATGGCTTCAACTTTGAAGGGCCCGCGAGCCGCGACTGACATGGGCCGGTACATGGATAGATTGTCATTTCTTTCATCCAATTTTTTATTATATTTTGTTTTCTTGGGAAGTTCGTTTCTTATTATTCCTAGATATTTCTGTTTTCAAAAGGACATACTGCGATTATTGGGTGGTTTGGGCGGCTTGCCCGCGCCTCGCCTCCAAGCCTCCCACAGCGCCGACCTCGCCCTCGCCGCTGCCGGAGGTGTCGGCCGGCTGCTCGACGAGCAATAAGGAGGACGGTGGTGGGGCCATCCCGCCACTCTCAACCCCGCGGCGCGCCGGTGATGGCGCGGACACCGGGCTCGAGTGCCCAGCTATATGCAAGGCCATGTCGTTAGTGCGGTCCACGGTGTGCGAGTTGCTCCGCATGCTGCTGCCGATCGATGCCCGTAGGGACTTCGTTGCCCTCATGGTGGTGCGGTCTTGGCGTGTATCGACGCAAGCCAGAGCCGCGGGGGGAGGGAGGGTGCAGGCAGAACCGCGTTGCTAGAGGGTGGATCCACATGGAGGGCGGTCGGGTTCGGCTGGGGTGTGGGTGTTGGCTAGTTCAGCGGTTGGGGCTTCTACCTCCCTTTCCCTGGCCCTGTCCTTCCTGCCACCTTCCTTCTCCCTTGCTGCTGGGCATATCTGCTTGCTGCTAGCCAGATTCGGCTGGATGCGGCGACGGGCAGCCTCTATGGCGGACTTCGTGCGACGATTCTCTTGGCCAATTGGCGGTTGGTGTTGCCCGTCATCCTTCCTCGGGGCGACGGTCGTGCCTTCGTTGCAGCTCCTCGTGTTGGCTTAGGTCATCGTGGCTGCTCTCTCTGGCTTCTCAGTGCGGTGGGCGACCCCTTTGGTTCTCTGCTTCCGTCTCCTTGATGGGTCGGGGGCGTCGTCTTATGGCCGTACATGCAGCGAGGATGCTGGTTGTACGTGTGGTGGCATCGGGTGTCGGTGGGGATGCCGGCGATCATCACCGGCGCCTCCCTGCGAGACTAACCCCTTTTGTGGTGGGCAATGGTGGGCCGCTGTAAGTGGGTGTGAGAGATTATGGCGAAAGCTTAGACGGTGACATCTGCGGACGTTGCTTCCTCCTTGGAGGCGTCCTTTTCGTGCTTCTTTTGTCCGGCTAGTTTTTGTGGGTGAAACCTTTCTATGTTGGGTTTGCGACGTCAGTGTCTTTGACGTTGTTTCCTTCTTTAGGGCGTCACAGGCTTTTTCCACCTCCACTCCGTTGTTCTGCTCTTGTTGTCTAGCCATGGTTGTGTTCGGCATCAACGCTTTGGGTTGGTTGCGGAGTTAGTTGTTTTTGCTAGTTAGTTTTTAGGGTTGTGACGTGACGTCCAGAGTTGCTTTAGTTGTTAGACAGGTCTAAGTACAATGAAAGCGTCTTCCTTCTTCTCTTCACTGAAAAGCGCCAAGGCGACTGTGCTGGCTCTTTCCTCGCCCCAAGTGTACACGGTCGTCGCCGGCACCTGCCCTAGGCCACACGAAGGAGCTTTCGCCGCCCCACTCCCCGTCTCCGTCATTTCGCCTCATCTCCGCACTCCGTTACTCTCCCTTCTCCGGTGAGCTCTCAGCAGCTACAGGTCTCTCGAGCCGCCCCTTGACCTTGGACGCTTTCATTTGAGAGCTTTGTTTGCTGTGACCATGTGGTAGGAGGCGGCACAAGGCCGTCCGCTTTTGTCGGCATGCATGGACAGCTCGCTTCCACTGCTGTCCGATTGAAGTTTGATGTGTCATTGATAGCTCAGTCTGATTTTGCGTCTTATGTGCCTGATTTTGGTTTGTTTCCATTAATAATTATGACCAAATATAATATTTAAACAACTTTAGTTTAGTCTATTATACTAAGTCTTTATCTTAGATCTCTTACCTAAAGGCTAAGGGCCAGTTTGGTTAGCCCTCCTAAAGTTATAGTCAGATAAATCTAGTCCTATTCAGTCACTTTTTACAAAAGACTATAACTAAATGGGCTTTAGTCAACTAGTCACCAAATTGTTGCTATAAGGGACTAAAAGGGACTAAACCTCACATTTTAATCACTTTGGAGCCAAATATCTAACCACCCAAACCAAATAGCCATTGACTAAAGTTTAAAAGGAGGAAAACCAAACAGGACCTAAAACTATACAAGTAGGATGAGTAGTGTCGAACTTAAGGGCATATTTAAATACCATGGGTTAAATGTTAGCTAGTTAATTTTAGTTTAAATTAGCTCTAAACAAGAGGGCTAATATGTGGACAAATTTTTTAGTCAAGTCTCTAATTAGTTGTCAGCCTACTAGCTAGCTAGCTATAACTAATTTAGGTTAATTTTTAGCCCCAATAATAACTAGTCACGTGTATTAAACATATAATTATGGGCCTATCATCTACGTGAGCTTATCTGACTATCGTATCGAGTTGTATGGCTTTCGGGTCCAATTTTCATTAAAAAAACTTAGCGGGCACTTGTCTAATCGAAATCACGTCAATGCTTTTGCCGTCGTTTTCTTAAAAAAAAAGTATCGTATTGCTGTTGTGGTTTGAGATGAAGTCCAGCAACTGGCGAGGGGTTCCAGAATAAGAGCGACCTCATTGATAGGTGCCGAGAAGAAGTCTAGGAGAGCGTCCGAGTGAGGAAAAGCGGTCCAACAGGCCTTGTGCACTCGTGAGACGCAGACACGCAGTACGACGAGATCCAAAAGCCCATTATTGGATGGCAGACGATAAGGCACGCGCGCTAGCGGCTAGCCACCGTGGATAAGAATCGAGAAGCCTGCGCTCTCCCGTCTGCCCTCTCCGTCTCCGGCCTCGATCCATGGCGGCTCATCCCCTCCTCTCCTCCGCGCTTATTCGTTGGCGTCTTCCCCCTGTAGCTGTAGGGGAAGGGAACCGCGTTCCCCGGCTGCGCCTGACGTCAGCACGCCCAGCTGCTCGAGGTATCATCGAAGCCGCCTCTCCGCATTGATTTCAATCTTTTGTTCTCGAATATATACTACGAAGTAGCGTATAATTAAGCCCGAGGAATGCGGCTGCATGTACAGCGGGCGGGAGGGTGAGGTCCCTGCGCGTGAGGTGCGAGCAGGGAGCCAAGGGCGGCGGCGCAGGCGGCGGTGGGCTGGACGTGTGGCTGAGCCGCGGCGCGATGCTGGGCTTCGTCGGGGCGGTCACCGTGGAGCTGACCACTGGCAAAGGCGTGCTTCAGGTGTGGGTGGTCTTTTGTTCTTGCTTGCTTTGGCTGACAGACAGGACAATTTTGATCCGTGACATTGGCCGCTTTCCGAGGGTTTGTTTTTATCCATTAGCAATAAAAATTATCTAGCTAATATTCCTCCGTTCTAAATTATAAATTACTTTTAATTTTTTTATTAATATAGATTTTATTATATATATATAAATGCATATCAAAAGTCATGTACCTAACCAGAAGGACTTACAATTTGGAACTGAGGTAATTTTAGAAGGAGCTGTTTGGATATAGGTGGTTGAATAGTACGTGAAGGTGCATGCTATTAGCAACTCTAAACCTGCTAATGGAACTAATAGTTATCAGAATGATAGCTAATAATTAATAGGTATAATTTTAAATGCTAATTTTTAGAGCTAATGATTCGAACAATCCCTAAATTCTCATGGTTGATTAACGGGCTAATTAATTTTTGGCTGCCGCAGAACGTGGGATTGACCGCGCCGCTGCCGACGCTGGCGCTGGCGCTCACCGGCGTGGTCGGCGTCCTCACGGCTTTCCTCATCTTCCAATCTAGCTCGCGGGACTGATGGACGAATTGACAGCTGCCGGCACCTTCGTAGGTCCCAACTCGAAAGAAGGCATGCATATGTCTATCAGGGTCGTGTGCCCTGTATGTCTATGCAGTTGTAGTTGTGTTCACAGAAAGGGGAGGAAGTTGAGGGAGTAACACAGTGCGAAAAAGATAATTAATTGTTACCAAATGTATTTTTAGTACTCCTACTTGAAGGAGTAAATTGCATTTTTCATCTGTTATATATGGCTAATTAACACGCTAATTGGCTAATTAACACGCTATTCGTAGTGGTTATAGTGTTTGTTGAGTACCATTATAAATCTCTCCCAATTAGCTAATTAACACGCTATTCGTAGTGTTTGTTGCGTGCTACCATTATAAATCTCAGTTCATCTACTGCTGGACACCACACGCATTGTAATGTAATTTTTGGATGTTTGGGAGAGATAAATGCGTGTTGTTTGGGAGAGATAAATGCGTGTTGAGAATTTTGTAGATTTTGATGAAGAGAAGAGACCTGTTCCCTAGATATAGGTCCCCAGATAAGGTTTATATTCAGTGTTGTCAAACAATCATATTCTTCTTTTCCGGCATTCATTTTTGCAGCCATGTCTGTTTACCCATTTAGGGCCTGTTTGGAACGCAGGAATTTCACAGAATTTCACAGAATCAGTTCAATTTCATAGAAAAAACGTAGGAATGGAGAAAAAATCCCACATTCCAAACAGGCCCTTAATGAGATTTGTACAGCTAGATTTAAGTATTCAAGGCACTTATTAACCATTTACTTATTTAGTATTGGTGTCTCAGATTTATTTGTTCTTAAACATTGTATTTATTTCAAGTCTTGAACTGGTCATATCCCTTGCGACCTCAAGTTTATGACACAGCTATAATTTGCAGGACATATAGATAATAGTATGCAAGTTGTTGATCCATCCCCTTTCGATGTTGTGTAGTATTTCAAGCTTTCTGCTAGCATCATATTTTGCAACAGTGGAGAAGAGGAAACATGAACAGAAATTGGATGCCACATCATGCTTGCTTGTTCAACCAAAAAGGAAATAGCTGTTTCCTTCTTGAAATAATTGAGGACTGAACTGAGTGATACTACGGCAAATAATCTGATTGTACACTTGATTACTTAATCTGCAACTTGCATATGTTGATTAGGCAATCGACCTCAACACATCAGTTTTGGTCTATCATTGGTTCTGATTGTGGTGCCTTTCTTGAGGGTTCTGAATTGTTTGGTTCAACAAAAGGAGAATAAGAATATGTTTGTCCTTTGTACTTCGACATCTTGTGATATATCTGGACCTAGCTTTGACATTAGCGAATCAAACAGGTATCTGCATTCCATCAGGATTTCCCTATATGTTTCTCAGTCTCAGGACGGCGGCTTGCAATTGATATGTAATAAACTTTCTGTCCATATGCAGATAAATTAAGATCGTGCTCAATTTCTTCAGTACGATTTCATCAGCTCTTGACAATGATGAATCACTAACCACCTCTTGGCCCCGTTGTATAAAGTTTCTGAAGGATTTGCTAGGAAAGTTGTTAGTGGTATGTTAATATTCCTATCTTGGCATTGTTCATTATTCGTTTCAGCAGATAGGAGATGCGTACATATTCAGTCTAGACATGTTCAATCTGTCCGAGCTTATCTGAGTGGTTACAGATAAAGTTGAGCAACTGGCCGAGGCCCGAAGAGGTCCAGAATAGTGTAGGTGACCTGATTGATGTTGAGAATTTTACCGCTCTCTCACTGGAGCTCCGCCATGGCTATGGAGTTCTCCCGCCGTGACATGGTCAGGCCGCCTCCACCGCCGCCACGACCCCAACAAGAGGGCTAATAGGTGGTTAGATTTCTTAGCCAAGTCTCTAACTAGCTGTTAGCCAACTAGCTAGCTATCCATAACTAATTTAGGCTAATTTTTAACCTAACTAAGGCCCTATTTGGCAAGGCTTCTCCACCAGCTTGAGGAGCTGTTTGGAGCCGTTTTCTGTCAAACGGGGTAAAGTGAAATAGCTTCACTGGTAAAGCCTCTAAAAACATGCTCTCATAATGATTTGGGGTGGGATGGAGCCAAAAAAAAGTGGCTTCTTCCGGCTCCTCCTCCAGACCCCTAAAAACATGCTCTCACAGGGAAGCCATTTTGCCAAACGGTTTACCAAAACCGCTTCAGCTCCACCGGTGGAACTGTTCGTGGAGCTGAAAAAAAAATAACTTCACTAGTGAAGTGAAGCCCTGCCAAACGGAGCCTAATACTACATTCATCCTAAAAAGAACTTACCTATGAATTACGTGCCATGTAGAGTGGTTCACGTTTGACCAAATTTCTAATAAATGATACACATTTATGGCTCTCAAATTAATGTATTATGAAAACACATTACACAATTAATTAAATTGTTTTTTTAACACACAATTAATTAAATTGTTTTTTAACACACAATTAATTAAATTGTTTATTTAATCTATAATTAGTTAAAATTAAGGTACTAACACGTGACAATGTACTAGAATTGCATTGTTTCGTATATTAAACATGTCCTACGGCACGTGGATCTGGTTTAATCAGAGCCACAGTAGCTTTTGTTGGAATTAATTAACGTGGCAAACCAAATTAATCTATCTAAGCCGCCGAGGGTTAACAACTCTTAACTCAGAGAACAGAGATGACACGGTAGGTAGCCATCGATCATCGTGGTCCAATCCAAGTCAAACCACCCCTCCTCCTCTCTCCGGCTGCCTCCTGCCCTCCCTGCCCCTATGAATCGTCATCACCACATGAGAGCAGAGCACAACAGCTAACAGAGCAAAGCAGAGCAGGTGAGCAAGAACAGACAGTTCCTTCGACCTCAGCTCAAAGCAGAGGATCAAGCTCCTGTCCTGTGTGCAAAACATCACAAGTCAAGCAAAGCAATGGCCACCAAGATCTACATCGTGTAAGCAACCCGCAATTCGATACGCTCGCTATATTACTACAGAGTTGATATGATCGAGCAACTCCATCTCATCTGCTCCATGCACTTTATCGATCGATCACAATATGACTGACAACGCTATATATGTCCATGCATCACCATCTACCAGGTACTACTCGACGTGGGGCCACGTGGCGGCGCTGGCGGAGGAGATCAAGAAGGGCGCGGATGCGGTGGCCGGCGTGGAGGCCACGGTGTGGCGCGTGGCGGAGACGCTGCCGGAGGAGGTGCTCGGGAAGATGGGCGCGGCGCCGGCGCGCGAGGGCCACCGCGTCATCTCCCCACGCGACCTCGCGGACGCCGACGGCGTGCTGCTGGCACGCGGTTCGGCATGATGGCGGCGCAGATGAAGGCGTTTCTGGACGCGACGGGCGGGCTGTGGCGGGACCAGGCGCTGGCGGGGAAGCCCGCGGGCGTGTTCGTCGCCACGGGTACGCAGGGCGGAGGGCAGGAGACCACCGCGCTCACCGCCGTCACGCAGCTCGCGCACCACGGCATGCTCTTCGTGCCCCTCGGTTACACCTTCGGCGCCGGCATGCCTGGCGTTGACGAGGTCAGCGGTGGTAGCCCCTACGGAGCGGGCACCTTCGCCGGCGCCGATGGAAGCAGGAAGCCCACTGAAGCGGAGCTCGCCATCGCCAGACACCAGGGCACCTACTTCGCCGGCATCGCCAAGAAGCTCAAGGCTGGAGCCGCGGCCCTCGCTGCCGAAGCCTCCTCAGCCTAATGACCGAAATTAATCAGTCGTCATGACTACTCAGACTGCGTTTATTTATTTTCCTGCTTTATTATTAGTTATTAATTTTTATTGGCGACACTGAGTTGTACTTGTAATTCTTTAAAAAAATATAGTATTACGTGCCTACTACATAACATGCTTGCTTGTTGCTAAACATGACGTCATAAGTGGCTCCAGAGACCAGACGACAAAAAAGAAAATCGAAGGGAGTTTGTGTTATCCGTTAAAAAATGTTTGGCGCACGTCGTACCAAGAACTACTCCTACATTGTAGTTATTTTTAATACTAGGTAGCGTGTTCGTGTGCGTTGGTACGGAATAACTAAATTTTTTTACTAAAAATATACGGATCGCACGATAAGATAACAATACTGTTAATTTAAATATCAACGTTAAAATAACATTTAATTCAAAAAGCAAAGTTCGTGAAATTAACACAAACATGGAGAACGCGGCGTCGTGGGCTCAAAAACTCTACTGTATAGAATTTTTCGTGATATGGCTAAGATAATATTTTATATCGGCATAAAGAATTCTCCGATATCTATTTCTTTAATGCGCCAATAAATCCATGAATAAGTTCCACTGCATCTCCATATAATCATATACACACAGGCTCGAGTATATATGTAAATATTAGTGCCTGTCACATGGATAATACTGCGTGTCTTAAAAAATCTCATAAAATTTTAAAACAAAATATGTTATACTCACCGTATAAATATGTGTGACTTTAGTACTATTCCACACACATATATTGTAGAATAATGTATCCACTTGAGTGTCTGTTCCAAGATGTTGAATTAGGTGTTGTAATTCTTAATTTCGACATATTTTTCAGGTCAAAGCAACCAATGGTGACACTTTTTTAGTGGTGCATAATTTTATGGTGCACCTCTTGACTATCTGAGTAACGACAAGTTAGCACTGCAAAGACTTAGAAAAGCTGTTGAGAAGGCCAAGGTTGAGTTTTCCTCCATTATGCATACTAAAACCTATGTCCCCATTTATCATTGCCGATACTTTTAATGCAAAGCAATTCAACATTATCATGATCAGATATAAGTTTGAGTCTCTTGTGAGCAATCTTATAGAGGGACTCTCATTCTTTATGTGATCTACCTCAAGGATATTGGAAGAACGATGGACCCATATTGGAATATCATACCAAAAAGTATCCACATTTTGTCCACGATTTATTTCCCACGAATACATGCGGGTACTATGATAACACTAACTACACCAAATAAAAGATTAGAGAGAATTTGCATTGCCTCTAGAAGTATTTATTTATTAAGTTCTTTGGACTCTACAGGTAGTTTTGAAATATCTGTTTGTATGTCTTACCTCGTATCCTAATTCAAAATTTTGTAGTTTAATTAGAATATTTAGGTGATTGTATATATATAATATTCAATACAAGAATAATCTATGCATGATCTTCTTGAAAGATTTATGTAGTGTAAAGACATCTTTGTTTTTTATACATGCCTGTGCTAACGCTACGGTTAAAATAAAAGAACAATATATATCAATTAAAAAATAAAAACAAAACTCATGCTCAAAGTTAAAGAGATAAATTATGGATGCTTGAATTTTGTCATCCATTACCTACCGACGTGCCTATAAAATAGACTGAATAAACAATTAAACATAGATAGAAAACTAAATTAATGAAAATATCATTGCAAGACATCAATCGTCTCATAGCTTCGGACAATATCGCAAAGCTACTAAAAACTGTAACCGTGCCCTCACCTCAAACATTGTCCAGATAAATGGATTACAATAAAAGAAATGGATATCGAAGATTTCTTCCTGCCAATATAAAACATTATCTTAGCCGTATCACGGAAAGGTCTATAAAGTAGAGTTTGTGAGCCTACGACGCCGCGCACTCTGTGACTGTGTTAAATTCATAAACTTTGTCTTTTAGATTAAATGTCACTTTAACGTTGGTATTTAATTTTTACAGTGTTGTTATCTTATCGTGCGATTCGTGTGTTTTTAGTATAAATTGTTAGTTATCCCGTAGCAACGCATGGACACGCTACCTAGTATAAATATAAAGAATGAAAAAGACGACAAGAAAGATTGGCATTAGGCTAACTCCTTTTGATTCTTTACAAACACATCTGAAAGTTAACATGTGGGCTGTGGGCATCAAATCAAAACAACAAAAAGGACATGGATTCGACCATAAGTAGCATTTGCCCTCCTTTTTTTGAAAAAAAAGAAAGGTACTGTAGAGTTATAGGATTGCCAATCTTATCAGCACTATCAATTTTTGGCAATTGTAGAACTCAACCAAGACACCCACTGAAGTGCTACATCCCTAGCTCGCAACCCAATTAAGAGTAAGTTCTCGCAAGCCTAGCTCCCCAGCCATTATTAAACTGCATGAAGGGCTCTAAAATGAAGACCACTATTTGAAAAAAGAGTAAATGATTATTGTTTCCTTCCATACATGATTATTGTTTCCTTCCATGCATGCTTATTGTTTCCTTCCATATATGATTATTGTTTCCTTCCATACATGTGGTCTGAGGTGATCGATTTGTTTTCTTCAAAGCAGGCGGGGATCGTAGGGATGTTAGTTTCTTTTTCTATAGCGTGGGGTATTGCATGGGGTTGTGAAAGCTCTAGTTTGGTTTTGGTGAATTGATGAAACCCTAAGTGCTAACCTAGTTTATCAAGTGATCATGAGATAGGTAGCATATTCCAAGTGGTGAAGCAAATGAAGATCATGACATGATAATGACTATGCCATGGTGATGATCAAGTGTTTAGACTTGAAAAGAAGAAAGAGAAAAACAAAAGGCTCAAGACAAAGGTATAAATGGTAGGAGCTATTTTGTTTTGGTGATCGAGACACTTAGTGAGTGTGATCACATTTAGGATCGATAGTCGTACTATTAAGAGGGGTGAAACTTGTATCGAAATACGGTTATCAAAGTGCCACTAGATGCTCTAACTCATTGCATATGCATTTAGGATCTAGTGGAGTGCTAACACCCTTGAAAATGCTTGTGAAAATATGCTAACACATATGCACAAGATGATACACTTGGTGGTTGGCACATTTGAGCAAGGATTAGAAAGTTCACCGACGCCCTAGACAAAAAAGACGGAGGTCACTGTAAGTGACCAGACGCTGGTCTCTGTACGACCGGCGCGTCCGGTCAGGTGAAGCATGAAGACGCTGGCGTCGGTCTCTGACCGGACGCTGGATCACTTAGTGATCGGACGCTGAAAGGTTGCGTCCGGTCCTGCTGATGTGGCAGCGCACAGAAGAGTCACCGTGTGACCGGACTCTGGGTGAGTCCGGTCGTGAAAAGTCGTCTCTAGATGCTTACTAGAAACGACCAGACGCTGGGGTTCAGCGTCCGGTCACTTTAAGCTGCTGCGTCCGGTCATCACATGACCGTTGAGATCGAGCGCTCGGTATTTGAAGAGAGGGGATACGTGGCACGCATCGCATGACCGGACGCTGGACCTCAGCGTCCGGTCGATATGACCGGAGCGTCCGGTCACCCTGTGTTGTGCCCAGTGAAAGGGTACAACGGCTCTATTTCGTGGGGGCCTCTATTTAAGCCCCATGGCCAGCTCAAGCTCACTCCCTTAGCTATTTGCATTGACATAGCAACCTTGTGAGCTTAGCCAAAGTCCTCCCACTCATCTCCATCATTGATCCATCATCATTGTGAGATTGGGAGAGAATCCAAGTGCATTGCTTGAGTGATTGCATCTAGAGGCACTTGGTATTTGTGTTTCGCTGCAGGATTTACTTGTTTCTCTTGGTGGTTGCCGCCACCTAGATGGCTTGGACCAGCGAGGATCGTTGAGCGGAGGTTGGTGATTGTCTCCGGCTCCGATTGTGGTGATTGTGAGGGGTCTTGTGCCTTCCCCGGTGGAGCACCGAAAGGTAACTCTAGTGGATTGCTCGTGTCATTGAGTTACCTCACTTGTGGGTAGGTTCTTGCAGTGTCTAATTGTGTGGATGAGGTTCGTGCAACACCTCTTAGCCACCGAACCACCAAGTGTTGGTCGACACAACGAGGACTAGCGTGCCGGTAAGCACGTGAACCTCGGGAGAAAAATTGATTGTCTCTTGCCCTTTGATATTCTCCCGGTGATTGATTTAGTATTCATCTCGTGATTGGTTCACTCCTCTACATGACGGTATAATCACCCTACTCACTCATTTATATTCTTGCAAACTAGTTGTATCAACCTCTTTAGTGTAACTAGAATTGAGAGCTTGCTTTGTGGATTAAGTTCATCTAGTGGAACTCTTTAGTGTAGCAATTGTGAGAGCTCTAGTGAGTAGTGACCTATTGGATTGTGTGCCTAGTGATCATAACAACTAGAATTATTGGATAGGTGGCTTGCAACCCTTGTAGAGCTAGAACAAGTTTGCATTTCGCTATTTGTTATACTAATCAAATTGCTCTAGTTGATTTGTAGATTTTAAATAGGCTATTCACCCCCCCTCTAGCCATATTAGGACCTTTCAAGTGGTAGCAGAGCCGTGGTCACCGTTTGATTAAAGGCTTAACAACCTCGGTGTCAAATTATGGCTCAAGTTGTGTTCAACCATGTGGGGGGCAAACCACTGTTCTTTGATGGCACATACTATGATTATTGGAAGAGAAAGATGAGAATGTATCTTGGTTCAATCAATGATCAAGTATGGGAGGTGACCGAGAATGACTATGCTATCATTGATCCCAACAATCCCACCAATCAAGATAAGACCAACAAGCAATGCAATACAATGGCTCTCAACACCATATACAATGCCATTGATTCCAAGGTGTTTGAGCAAATCATGGATTGTGAAAGAGCAAATGAGGTGTGGAGGAGATTGGAGGAAACATATGAGGGCACACCGGCAGTGAAAAGTGCTAAGTTGTACATTCTCAAGGATAAGTTGACAAGCTTCAAGATGAAGGAAGATGAGAGCATTCTAGAAATGTTCCATCGGTT